CCTCCAGTAGTTTTAAAGATTTTTCACCAACTGACAGACTGAATTACAGATCAACATTGAAATCCCTAAAAAAAAACAGTAGTTTATTACGCCAATAAATAAATAAATGTCTCTTCCTGGTTTACAGCTCCAACCTTGGTGGCAGAGTGGGTGGCTTAGTCTGTTGCACCAATAACCCCAACAAGCACCTCCTTCGCTGTTAGGACATCTAGAATCCAATAAGGGTCAAGGGTGCTTGATCTAATTCCAACAGTACATAGGAGACTGGATCCTCCTGTCCTCAGCTTAAAGTTATACTGTGTTGAAGGTCCAGTATTCCTCAGGACAATGAGAAATCTATACCATTAACACCAACCACGAGAGGTAATACATTTACTAAGGTCAGTCAGAGACAGACATTTCTTTGAAGATTAACTGCTTGCACTTGTTTCTACAGTCTGTTGAGTAGAGGAATTGTTTTTTGCCTTATCTGCTCTTGGCACTACATGGTGCTGCTAGATATCCCAAACATGCTGGCGAGGGGATTTAGAGACCATTGGGCAACTGTGTCTCTTTGTATTTGTGGAAAAGAGGAGGAGATGAGCAGGCTGTAGAGTCTGCTTTCTTATTTTGAGTAACACATTTGTTCACAGTTGCTTCTCCCCACCCACACACTGCTTTGTTCGTATGATACAATTATTTTTCACAGAACATCTTTCTAGTCACTAACCAGAGATCTCTCAGGGAATTCTCACCTTTCCCACAGTATCTTCCTCCTATGTTTAGCAGCTTCTCTTTTCCACAGCACATGTTCTGTCACAAAACCCGTGGTAGGAACAGAAAGAGTATTGTTTGTTGCTTTTCTGGTATTTAACTCTCAGGTTTTGGTTCTTCATCGGTTCTTCACCCGATTATGAATTTATATGTTCTTCTGTGATAAGACTCTATTCCCTCTGTTAACCCTCAGGGAAGTAAAGCATTGATATTGTAGAAAGACGTGCTCAGTCATAAAAAGTGGAAGGGACCATATCTCTTCAGACTGCATCAGTAGTAGGTTACATCCCCGATACACATGCCTCTTTATCTTTTTTTTTTTTTTGAAAATCCTCGTGGATGTTTTTATGCATGTCATCATCACAGATGCAATGCTTTTGAGGAATCTGTCTTTTTACTTAGAACTGTGTTTGTTGATGTGCATGAGAGCAAGGAATTAAACACCGTCAGTTGCTGAAATGTGTTGAGTGGGTGTGCTCTATTTTAGTCTGGGGGGTTTAATTTACCAAATCTTTGAATTTTTCCAACTAATATACACGTAAAGTGGGAAATAGGATTTCCTGGGACAAAATAGGATTTCATTATTAAATAGTTGCTCCAGGAATATTTATGTCTTCTTGAAAATGATCCCTATTATAACATAGCACTGATTGTTGAATGTTTAAGTTGTCTGTTTCTTATTTTGGTAAGAAGTGCTCTGGAGCCATTTCTGGATATTAGCAGTTAAATCAAAAGTCCTTTTCATATTGAGATTTTTGCTTTCACTTTGCAGTCTTATGGTCTCATCACTAGGGTTAGTTTTATACTGTAGTAACTTTAATTTAGGGCTGCAACAAATGACTGTTTCATTATTGATTAATCTTAAGATTATTTTCTTGATAATTTATTTCATCTATAAAACAAACACTCAAAATGCCCGTCAAAATTTTTGACGTCGAAGTTACTTCTTCAAATGTCTTGTTTAAACTGACCAACATATTCAGTTTACAGAGATATAAAACTGAGAAAAGCAACAAATTAGTTTTAGACAAGTCATACCTTGTTCTCATCTTAGCGTCTTACCCCTTTTTCATCATCAGGCTTGATGTGTTCTGGTTCACAACTCAAGTAAATATGTATGTTGCCATGCTGAAGTACTGAGATGACATGTAAAGAGATGTCACTAACTTAAGAGTAGTTGAAAATGACAACAATTTACCAAACATGTATCTGCTTTTGAACTTAAAAGAGTAAGGTCTTAAAGTCTTTTATTCTGACAAGAAGCCACTCATTACGACAGCATGTCTCTACTCAAGTTGACTGAATACCAATCAAAGTCTCTTGATTTATCTTAAAATGTCACCTACGACAGAGCAGTATCACTGGCTCTCAGAATGAAAGGTAGTTTCAATCATGAAAGGTGCTTCCAGTAATGAATAAGCCATTGGTCCATTGACAGTTGCTAGGCAACTGCATCAGCATTACTCTGGCAAGTCAAGGAGCACTGGTAAGGAAATGCAAGGGTATTTAAGCATGTGGGAGAAATATATGCTTTACCAAAGCATTCGGTGCGGTGTGTTGTACTGCTTTATCACAGATTTTGATTGGGTCATGGTGGTGGAACAGATCAAAATTCATGGGACCACAATGTCTTTGCTGTAGTTTTGCATAATTTATAGGGATGTTATGCAGTGCATGTTTTTAGACAGCCCAGAGATGTGGTGATAAAAGCAGGGAAGAATGATTGCCTGTTTACTTTTCTCTGAATGGGGAGGGTGTAGAGTACAGTTGGTCACTTATCAGCATGAAATGAGTAAGGATTTGAAGGTAGACAGTAGGTCTGAAAAATATATAATTTCAGCCTTGATTATAGCAATGTATGCATATGTAATAATAACATTACAAAGGATGCAGTGTAAAGCAACCAGACCACCGTGGTACATTTGATTTTACTGCTTGGAAACTAGTAAAGTTTGCTTTTTGTGACTAATCTGATAGACAGTCCATTTCATAACATAATTTAGCCTGAGGCAAACGTCTCATCACAATCACTCTGTGAGTGTGCTGATTCACTGAGCATAAAAAATCAAGCTAACACGTCTCGTGGATTTTTCCATCAAACTTTACAATTGGCAAAGATGAAGAAAGGTGTTGCTGAAATGATTGTAGGTGAAAAAAAACAACAAAGTTTTCAGCATGTTACGAAGTGCTTTGGTTTGTAAAAAAAAAAAAGATGTAAAATAAAAGCTGTGCTTATTCTTTATTTGCACATGGAACTATTGGAGTTAAAAGCTGCACACTGTATAGCTGGTAAAATTGTGTAACTTGTTTAAAATATTGAAACTTAAATAACTGTATTCATGTACATATTTATAGAAATCTGTACTCGGATTAGCAGACTTTCTAGTTTCCACCTGTCTGTCCCTCCCAAACACATGAGGTGGCAGGAAGTTGTTGAAAGAACAACAAAGTATTAGGCCACAGCTTATTTAAATTATCAATTAAGCTTGTTATGTAACTTATTATTTAATGGGTGATATCCTTAAGTTGTTAATTTTGTCTCACCAGCAGTCCAAAGGTATAAAATGTACAGTGACATGAAAGATAAAAGCAGCCAATCATCACATTTGAGTTGCTGAAACCAGCAAGTGCTTGGTATTTTTTACTGGATAACTAACTACATTGATTTGTCAGTTGGAGAAATTATGATTAGTTAAACTGACAATTGACTTGTTGTTTCAAAACAAATTCCAATAAATCATCCAATAAAACTATACAGCCTCAAAAATTCTAATATAGCTAAAACAACTCTTGTCTACTAACATAGAATATATTTCGCATAATATTTGTTGCTGGGCTTTTTTATTGGAGTGTTAGCATGTATCGGTGTTCATGATATTGTCTACTCAATGTACATTTGCTTACAGTGTGTTCTCTTTTGCAGTTTAGCCTCTGTAAGAAGACCAGTATTTGTTTATATTTACTCAAAGCTTGCCTTGTGCCTCTAACCTTGATTATACACTTCCAGTTTGAAAACTGAGCACTTTGTGTTGTTTCCTGTTTGAACTGATTTTTTTTTTTTTCCTTTCCTGGGGACAGAGTTCTCTGTTCGAGTTACTGTCCTCATCCTTAGGACAGTGGTTCAATAATTGCTCTTGTTTTACTCCTCTAGAGAATTGCCCTGTGGAATAGCCATCAATTTTTAGACAGGCCGTCCCATTGTGTATTTGTGTGTACACTTGTTTGTGCATGCCTTTTTCCCTCCAGCTGTGGTGGATGTTACATTATTGAGTCGATGATGTTCTCCCTTGATTTAACTTCTGCTTCTCCTCTTTGAATCAACAGGCACTGTGCATTAACACAGTTAAAATACAAATTAGTTGGAAATAAATGTTTGTCATTTAGAAATATTTCTAGTTTTATGAACTCTTTTTTTCATAATTCCTCTGTTATGAAATACGTATCTTAATCACTTGAAAAACTATCAAAGCTGGCTGGCTGAGCACAATGTTGCTTTAGTCTGTTTGAATCACAACAGTGGGGATAAAAATAAGTGCTGACAGCTTAAAGCAAGAAACTGACAGAAATGAAAAGAAAGTAGACGATGAAATCATTGTCAAAAGGGCCACTGAGGAGCCATTTCAAGTTAGACATAGATATGTCTGAAGCCAAGGTTACAGCATGCTGTTCTGTAGACAATACAATCTGACATCAAAACCACCTTCCACTTACTGAGTCACATGTTGTCAGTGGAGCTTGATCGATAAGGGAAGTGAGACCCTCAGTCTTCACAAACCCCACCTCCGTGTGTGTGTGTGTGTGTGTGTGTGTGTGTGTGTGTGTCTCACTCTCACATGCATTGGCGCAGGCACCTGCGTCTGTTGGCTTCCCAGCAGACCTACAGGACATCTGCCTCCTGCTTCCTGTCTGACTTAAAAGGAAGGTTTCATGTGTTTGTATTTGCTAGACCCGTGTTATGTAATCGTGTTGCATAAGTCAAGTCCTCAGGGGGGTTATTTGTAGATTGGTAGATACCTCTTTCTGCCTGTGCTGTAGAGACGTGTCTTCTTTGGAGAGAGCGATAGTAACAGAAGTAATACTCAACTGATGTTTTTTACATAATGGAAAATGGAAACTCAAAACTACTATCTTCAATTTTTCTTTTTTCCCCCATCCTTTTCCCCTCTTTTTCTCTATTACATTTATTAACTTATCCCCTCTAACAATACCTCAGTAACTCTGTACCTCTCTTTGCATATCTTTGTCAGGTGTGTGCACCATGGCATCTAAACCTCACCCTCCTCTGATGAAGAAGCACAGTCAGACAGACTTGATAAGCCGTCTTAAGAGCCGGAAGATCCTTGGAGTGGGTGGCGAGGATGATGATGGCGAAGTACACCGCTCAAAGGTCAGATTACTTCACATGAACACATTCCAGTCATTTTTATTCCGTAATGGGAAGTAATGCAGAAAACAAAGGCATTAGTGCAACAAACAGCTTAGTTATAAAAGTAAGCATATGTGTTAAACTATTATCAGTCAAATGAATAATATTGCTACAATGCTAAGCAAGAATGGCACTCAACCACAGATGCATTCATTAACCTTGAGAAGAGCTATGGATTCCTTTTAAAAGCCACAATGGGTTGCTAATTGGCTCATCACTCTCATAGTGTCCCATTGTGTGCATTTGCTCAATTCGCTTCAGTGAATCTAGATCACGTTATCTCATGAGCTCCTGTAGTTCCACAGAGATGTGACCAGCTCCCTTGGGAGCCTTGCTGCCTCTTGCATCTCATGCATTATATTCCTGCCTAGCATGCATTTGCACATTCATATGGACAGTGTACAGTGATGTGTACACCAAAACACAACAGCACACATGCTGGTTCATACCAGTAGACACAAAAACACCTGTTATATCCATGCATGTTGCGCAGCACAGTTGTAAACTGACAATAATTTCCTGTTCTATTTCAGAGGGCTAAAATATCAAGATTCCACAGATTTAAAAAAAAAAAACAGATAGCGTTAAAATGAGCATAGGCAGAGCAAACTGTTCGTCACTGAAATATTAATCAAGCAAGTGAGAGCAGGGAACAGAACAGAAGGGTGCAGGCATACGGTGGTGGCTGATAGCTTGTGATGAAATGTCTGCTCCCTTTTCTCAGCCCTCCAGAGTGTTTGTTTTCTCTCTTAATGTTTTAGCAAGGAGCTTAACCCAGACATCTGCCACTTAGATCCCTTTCATAGTGCGCTGTGATGGAGACATACATGTAAAGATAAAGAGAGAAGAATAACCGCTTATTTGATTTGAGGAAGATTCTGCAGGTTAGGCACTTACTGTAATGATTGTAAAAATGCAGAGTACAGTAACACAATGCTTTGCCTAATGTGGCCTATTGTATGTGCTGATTTGAAAAGTGGGTTTCCCTATTTAACCGTGACATTGACCCTAATTTAGAAATGAAATTGTTGCTCATACAGTTCAATTGTTCACTTGCTCTCCTTCATTGTGCTGTTACTTGAGTTGTTCCATTTATCCTCGCCACAAGTGCTTGTGGTAAAGAGGCCCATGGGATCAAAATGTAAGGTTAGCTGCACAGCAGGAGTTGGTATGGAGGGGGAAACAGTTGACTTTATCCCTGTGGTTCCTGTAAACAAAGGAGGGAAGTGCTCCTGTGGTCCACAGACTGTCTCTTCCTGCTTCTTTTACTGCTTCAGGATAAGAATATAGTCCCCATTACTTATACTTCAGTATGTGAGAGGCTTTGTATTAGTGCCACAGTGTGCGAATACAGCTTTGCTAGAGGTATTGCCTCTATTGCTCCTGGTATTAATGACAGCCTCTTTAAGGCACTAGTGCAATACTTTAGTGCTAAGGTCATGTTGCAACAACCAAGCTCTGACAGCGTGAGCTCAGGCATTCATAAATAAGACATACAGCAATGTTTTGTGAATATTTTGTGTCTCAGAGGATTACCACTGGGACGTATGAAATAGTGATCACTATCTACTGAATGTGACTATGCAAACTTACAGCATCCATTAGATGGGCAGTGTACATACTCACATGACAGATTTTAGGTTGGTGGATAACAGATCCTGAATATTTTTCATGCGCTCTGGCAGAAAAGTTGTTCCTTGTTTACTGAATGTAGCTGACTTAGTGATTGATAACAAAGCCAGGTCATTATAGCGGCTGTGATTAAGCGTCTCTCTCCACAAACAGCATTGTGTATTTCTTCCCTTTCCTGTTTCTCCATCTCTTCCCAACTCCCTTCCGCCCTATTCCACCCCCAAGCCAGACCTGTGCCATCAGTTGACGCTCAGTTCCCTTTGAGTATTTCTCATGCCAGTCATGAATATTTATGTGTTCCTGTCAAAAACAGCCGCTGAAACCATGGCACAGGAAGGCTGAATCACATGGTCACATGATCATAGCTGGCACAGCCGGATTCATGTACAGGCTCTTCAGCCTGCAGTGCATGGAGGGATGTAACAGGTCCAGTCTGAAATTCTTCAGCTTAATATTTTTTAGCTTTTAGTCTTTTCTTAAGGGGTTCTGCTCTGAGATGATCAAAGCCAGCTGCAGCCATGTGCAACAGGAACTGTTTAAGAATCTAATCTCACTCAATGCGCTCTGAGAGTAGGGATGGTGTTATTATCACATCATCAATAAGGGTACTTTCTAGTATCAATAAACATCACAATATGTGAAATGTGAGCAGAATCACATTTCAAACATTATTATGAAACTGATGTTCAAAGTTATGACCTGTGTTCCACTGTTTTGAATTACATAAGTGCAAATTCCTATATGTAAAACAAAACTTTCAACAAACTAATTTTGTTGTAAAAAAAATAGCATGATAAGATCATATCATCATGATATTGTTACACTGAGCATCCATGAATGCTAGTAATCCCAGCCCTCTGCAAGAGAGAGAGAGAAAAAAAAATATTACAAAAAAAGCATATAGGATGGCATGTGATACACTGTATGTGTAACTGGCTCTCATTGTTATAGTCATAATTTATAATATTCATAAATGCATGGGTCATTTCTGAAAACGTTGCAGCTGCTCAGTCACATTTACCTGGTGCAAAAGTAAAAAGGCAAAACCACTGAAAACCCCTGTCCTGATTTTTGTAGTATATGACTGATATATGAATGATTTTGTTTCATTCACTCTGACATTTCACCACCTTATCAAGCAGAAAACTACTCTCCAATTGATAGTGAGTTCCCTATAAACACTGCAAACCAGGAAATCATTCTTCTCTGCCTTAGTGGTTTTCATGCTTCAGTATATTTTTAGTTTCAGTGATGCTATTTCTGACTGCAACATAAGAACAGTTTTGAGGGAAGAGATGCTTAATGATGAAGGGAAATAATTGTTGTTAGTGCAATGATAGGACCCGGAGGCTTTGGATGAAGGAATTTAACTTCACAGTCAGCCAACAGTTGTAATTTTTCTGTGGGTTACTGCCTGTTTAGGCATTTTTATTCACTTGCTCTCTGTGTGGTTTGTCTGGGACAGTTTTTTACCTCCCTGTCCTTTTGTATTATCAGTCTGAATCTGAATTTGTCAGCATTTCTAAGCCCATGTCCCTCCAGTAGCATGCTAAATGCTCCCCCTCTGAACCTTCTACTTTATTTACAGACATACACTGCACATACAGATGTACATGCAGTATACTCGGTCTTGGAACTTGTTGACTAAGGTGATAGATAGGAGTTTAAAGGACCTATAATTCCTCTTAAATGCATATTCCATCATGAATATATGATATTACCAGGGAAACACTTGGGCGTGTCTTCTCAATATTGCTGTGTGATAACATTCATTCTGTATGGCATCTCATGAAATATTAACTGTTATCTGTCTTTGTATTCAACTGGAATGAACAATTGGTTACTCAGAGATGGTGTGGCACACACTGCTTTCAATTTGTCAAAATGTTCTCCCACTGTTTTCTTCAGGCTTTCAGGATTATAAATTGCATGTTGCGTTGTTCTCATGTTGCTAAGATGAAGTTAATTTATAGAAAATATGTTTTTTCTTCTGCCATAGCCATGGTAGTTGGATTCATCCATAGTTCACTGCAAGATGTTATGGCATATGCTCTTAGTCTTCAGGGGGTGATTAAGGAGGTGAAGACATTTACAGTCTCTAATTAACACCTTAATAGATCCTTCTCTGACACTCTTCTTTTCTCTCCACTGCTTTGTTTAATGTGCTTCTTTCCAGTAGCTTGCTAAAGATGTGTTAGCAACATTAAGTACACCTCCATGTACAGTACTTTATTCTTGGTCATGTGGCACTATGTTGGAAGTTGTCATGATAAATATCTGTTAAAATTACAGTTCCCTTCTCATAACTCATTTCCTTTTCAACCCTAACCCTTTTGACATGTTCTTGTTCGCTCACAGATCAGTCAGATGCTTGGAAATGAGATGAAGTTTGCGGTACGAGAACCTATCGGGCTGAGGTGAGATTTCAGCTGCTCAGAACATCTCACAGTTAACACAGCACACTGTGTTTGAGCATGTGTGTATCACTTCCTGTGAAGTTCAACATCGTGTAAACTCTGAGAAAACAAATGTACAATCATTATAGTATTGGTTGCAGGAAGGATATGAAGTATGTCATGTAATGTCTTTCTTCTTAGGGTGTGGATACTAATCTCTGCAGTGGGTTTCACAGTTATGGCTGTGATGGTGAGTGTTACTTAAATTATCAGCAGAGTGAAGAAGTTGTTACACCTTCATAACTATTAATTCTGTATAGTCTCTGTAAAGAGATTGCACAGTTAGGAGGGAGAAAAAGCATTCATTTTAGAAAGTTTTATAAAATCATGATATAAACCCAGCAGTGTAGTGACAGACAAGACACAGCTTCATCTTTGTCAGCCATATCACCTAAATGCTCAATATCCTCAGTGTTCAGGGCATGCACAGTGACTCTAATTCCCAAACAGGAATATGTTGTGAATTCTGCTGCATTTTAGGACTATTATGGGGCATTTGGGGAAGACAGAATCCTGTTGTGTTGATGTGACAGAGCTGTGTTGTGCTTTTGTTTTCCTACACAGGCCCTGGTGTTTCCCAACCAGCTATATGAGGTTGTTTTTGAGGAGGAGCTCTCCATGACAAGCATCTCTGTTCGCCTTTATGGAGGAGCACTGCTCAGTAAGTCTTCATTTCTAAGATGCAAGAAAAACACACGGACAAGAAATGCATAAAGCTATTCATGCTCCCTCATACATAGCTGCAGTATAGCAAGTATACAGCTAGTAATGAAATAGTACATTCACAGTGCTGTAATGGTGCTGACACACAGTGTTTTAATATTTCTTTATATACTTACTAAAAATATACTCTGGTGTACTGTTGGTCTCTCTGTGATAATGCTTTCTATTGTATTCATTACAGTTCATAAGCATTCAGATAATGTACAAAAAGCTCTCTTCCTGCTGCAACATCATTCCTTTAGGGTACGAACAGAGCCCGTGTAATTTGATTCAGTTCTGTGTATCTACAGTTCACTATGAGGGCATGGCAGGGGTACAGAGACCAATTCTCCAGAATACTCACAGCAGCAGCTCCAGTGGCCTCATATATCAGGCCTAAATCCAGTGGGAACACAGTGGGGGATGGCAGGACAGTGGACAGTGGATGTACTGTGTGTGTGTGTGTGTGTGTGTGTGTGTGTGTGTGTGTGTGTGTGTGTGTGTGTGTGTGTGTGTGTGTGTGTGTGTCTGATCTGAGAGGACGCACTGTATTACATTAAAATTATACAGCTCACTCACTCAGTCATGCTTTAAATTGAGTCTTTTTTGCTCTTTCGTGTCACGCCATCTACAAGAGGTAATCGATGCTTGTAAACATGCCAGGTACGCCATCATGACATTTGTGCTTTGCTCCCCAATTACAGAGAAATTATATATATCAGAACTTTTTCACTCCCTAATTATCGGTATTGGCCCCAAAAATCCAATATCAGTCGGGCTCTAATTTTAATGGCCTTAGTTTGTGACTGTCAGGCAAGTTGGTGAGTCTGTCACTCAGTTAGTGATTACAGGGTTTATGATGGCTCTGTGAAGAGGCACAACTTGCCTTTGACAGAGGCAGGTAGCACACAGGTTGTTCCTTGATGGGAAAGTTAGCAGGGAAAGTAAGATGAAAGTGAAGGGTGAGAGCAAAGGCTTAGCATATATTCAGTAAATTCTGCCATGTTGTCATTTTCAGCTAAGTCAGGCATGACATAAGTCTGACATATGTCAGAACATCACCAACTAGATCTTATATAGACATAAGAACACCAAATATTTAATCTGTTTAACATGCTGTCTTCCTCCTTCATCACAGGACATGAGAAATCACATACTGTGCTCTAACACATTGTATGCATATCTAGCTGAATCTTAATGTAAAATCTCAGCAAATCAAAAAATAACTCTCTATGATTACTGCATTGCCTGAAGAGAGATAAAAGAGAGAGATACAACCTTAAACACATGGCACTGTGGAGGAAGATATGAATGAACCAGCATTCAATCTTAAAAGGCCAACAAAAGACTGGCTTCTTTATTTTGAATGTCAGCAGGGCTGCAGGGATTAGCCAAGAAAAAAGGTGATGTCTTATGAGACAAGGAGCAGTAAAAGGGACTAAGGTTGGGGTCTCATCTGCCACACAGATGGAACCTGGCAGGGAGAGGATACAGTCCATCAGCCCTCCCACCTTTCTGCCCACCCAAGCTCATTTCCACAGCCCCACTGGGTGTGTGTGTGTGTGCGGGTGTGTGGGTGTGTGGGTGGAGTGAAATACAGGGAAATGAACTGGAAGAATGGCAGGGAATTAAATGATTTAGCACAGGCTTTTATCAGAATCAATTAGTCGGCGCATTCAGCAGAATCAATAGGCCAATTATCACCATGTGTACATGTTGTAGATCACTGTTTAACTACAGCTGCAAGTTTATTGTTCTCTGAGTAGTTTTGTTGGTGGAGTTGCTGTTTAATGTCTTTTTTTTGCCAAGCTGCCTCTGTTTTTTTCAGTTTTCATTCCCATGCCCCTGAGCCTATAAATTCCCTTTTATCACATCCTTTTCCAGGCCTGGCCCTCATCATGTGGAATGGTCTGTACACAGCAGAGAAGATCATCATTCAGTGGACTCTGCTCAGTGAAGCCTGCTACTTTGCTGTCCAGTTTCTAGGTGATTACACTTTTCCAACACATCATTCTACAGTTCTAGTTATGTCTAGTTGCCCCTAGCTGTTAGAGTCACAGCACCAGAGCCCTACTTTTGTTGAGTTGAAACAATCCCTTGGTCAGAATTGATTTTGCCAGTGCGCTTTGTACCTATGTATTGATACTGCCCTCTTGTGTTGAGAAAGTGGAATCACAGCCTTGCATTTTATTTAAGGCTTTTTTCAAATAAAAATACGTACATGCCCATATGTTCATTGAAACAGTATAACCATTCCTCCTGGTTGTAATCCCTTTCTTGTTTTCAAATGTGCTCCATGAATAAACTGACTTGATTCGACTTTTGTCCATTTACATCATGGCTCCTCAATTCACCACACACTCATTGCACAATCCGACATGCCTAAAACTGATATTGTAGTCTGGCACAGATTGAGACTGAGATTACATTAGATCAATCTTGCACAGTGTGACATGTAATGGTCTTACATGATCGTTGTTGTTGCACAGTCTAAAGGCACCTTCACACAGACAGACAATGGCTGTAAACAATAACTCTTTCAATGCACATATGGGTATGTGAGAATTGTTTGAAGACAGATTTAGAGAAATGTGAACCAATCCTTTAAGATCCACTTTGCAAATGTTCCAAACTTTGTGCACTGTGCCTTTTTTCTTATGATGAAAAAAAAACATATATATTTTAAGCACTGAATGTTGCTCTGTGGTTTCAGTGACATCCATCACCTTAATAGAGATTGGGATCCTGCCCAACGCTGCCATGCTCCTCCTCCTCAGTCGAGTGCTTTTCCTGGTGGTCACTATGGCTTACTACTACCATCTGGGCCGTAAACCGAAGAAAATCTGAGCTGCCTGTGTGATACTTCCAGAGTGGGGACAGCTGAGCACAGATAACAAATGTGGGGTCAGGAGGTTTGGATTATTATTTGACTGGGGCTTGCCAATGGATGCCCCCTGCCCCTTTCCGAGGGACCTAACCTATTGCAACCCCCAGTATTCAACATATGAGCATAGTCTCACATTCCAGACTCTACAACAAGAACAAGAAACCTCATAGTTAAAGTGAATTACTCTTTCACTGGGCTGTGAGGTCAAGCCCCTCTTGACACACATTCCTCCTTTGTGCAGTGCTGAGTGCTATTATTATAAAGAAGGAACTAGCAGTAGTGCATTGCGTTCTTGTGTCACCTAGTTCTATGATTTCATATGTACAGTACGGAGTAATTTCAAACATCTGACTATGTTGTTAATGTACAGCTACATGGTTTCCAGATTCAGTATTTAGTATTACCTGTTTGATACAACATTGCATCTTGACACCGCTTCTTAATCATACTCAAGGACCAAGAGTTTGTGCTATAATTCATTACCTGTTTGATGCTGTTGATGCTTAACTCAAACTGTATGTATGCCAAAGTGAAGCCTGGATATCTGTGCTCTTGCATGCTTCTCTGACAGCTCTCCAGTGAACACACTGAATGGCAAAAGCATCAACTGTGCTAGATTCAGGGGCAGTCAGATAAGCTAAATGCTGGATGAATTACAAAAACCCTTTTCTTACACTGCTGAAAGCTTTCTTGTTCCAGCACACTGAGGAAGCTCCTCAAGGTCAGTTTATACTCCCAATCATGCCCATCAATCATTTTCAGATTTAGGCTACCCAAAATGAAATGCTGAATTAAAACATTTTTTCAGGGACACATTGAGTTTTTTATTCCTGAGGTATCAGTCATGAGGTTCTACCAAAGTGAATAGGAATTGTTTTGTACAGAATATTTACACTTCTGACGTTAATACACATAATGTTGATGAATGCGCATCGTTCTCCTCTTGGTGTGTGTGCACTGTTAGGCAGGACTTTAGCCCGAGTGATCTTATAGAAAGTATTTTAACATTCTGACCTTTACTGTATAGCTTGTGTCACAAGCCGAGCATGTCGGTGTGCAGGGTAAACAAACCTGACCTGGTTCCTCTTTAGTGATGTAGCACAGTTTTTTACATATACCATATCCTTAGTCTTGCCTTAAAACTACTTAAAAGAACAGTCATCAACACTGCATCCTACTTCTTGTATATATGTAAATAAAATTATTTACTATTATGTGGTGTTCTTGTGAACCGAACAGGGAACTTGTTCAATATTAGTTGAATGATTTTCAAAGTTTGATCTTTCTCTTGCCGTGTCTTATTTTGTACCTTTTCAAGTGACATTTGTGTTTTGATGTCCTGCATGCAATATAATCCACCAAAAGAAATGGCTCAAACTGTGTAGCAAGCCACCAGCTAGAATGAAAAACTGATAAAGATGGTAATGGGGATGGATGGATGTATTAGCCAAAAATGAAAAGCCTGAAAAGGAAAAGCTGATTTTTAAGGTAGTTAAACTCTGCGCTTTAAAACAGACATAACCCATCATTTGACAGTTTTCACCCAATCAATTTGTTCAAAACATTGTCTACCTCCCAATTCATGGGCTGCCCTCAGGTCGGTGACATCACGGCTCAGTTTTAGAGTTGTGCTAGCAATGCTAACTCTGACCTCTGCAGCTCTCATACCCTTCAGCACCCACGGCCAGTCAAAAAGACAGTCTAAAGATAGTTCATTCATTTTGTAAATTTAACTTCAAACATTATTTTGAGTTGAACAAGGAACATACTAAAGTACTCATACTAAAAGCATCATCCAAAGGTGGTCCATATTGTTGCAAATGACCATGTCGAGTCCTGCTCCAGAAGGGAGTGGTCTTGAGGTCACAGTGATTGTGGGTTTCCAGATACAAGTCCAGCGCTGAAGGCAGATGTGTTTGTTACTTGGGTGAGCTTTCGGTTCAGATAGGGAACGTGAAACATGGGTGAGGTCTCCCATACTCCTAAAAAGTAGTAATTATCCTTTTTCCAGTGTTTAATTAGATGCAACTCTCCTGAGTGACATCGTGTGCCCCAACCTACCACTCTGTCCTGTCTAGCATGGTAATTATGGAGTTCAAGAAAAATGTCATTCCATTTCCGTCGATACTACAGGCCTCAAATCATCAGCTTTGTGAAATGTTCAAAGGTCTGTAAGCAGGTTATTTTAGGAGAGATGGGCAGTTTCAGGGGGACTGGCAGCAGGAGGGAGGCAAAGAAATGGCTCTTTCATCTTTCTGGTTCTCTGACAAATTAGTCCAGATTTTGCATTGGTAAATTGTGTCCTTGAAATTTTAGAGGAATGGTAAGTTGAGCTATTTGTTCCCTCTGATGTAGTTCCAAAATATATTGTACTGTTGTGGCTAGTATACCAGGTCAAACTGTTTGAAGTTGTAGCATTGTGTTTTTATGTATATATGTGCTATACTGTACCTCAAAAATGAATTGTTATGAATTTCCACATATAGTTTGAAATAAAGAACACTTTTGTTTATTTTGAAGACTTCAAAAGCGGTGCAATCTACTTTGTTCCGTGTTTTCCTTTTGATAGAAACGTAGATTTGTGGATTGTTTTGTTTTTTTTAAATCACAAATTTTCACAATCACAACTTAAAGCTCACTGTGATTTAGCCACATATGGCAGCATATAATATAAGCAGCAAATCCTATCATTGGACCCAGAGGTTGTGTGGAAGGTTTGATTGAAAATGGACCAAAGTAATTAATCGATTATTAAAATAGAATCTGATTAATTTTCTGCCTGTCAACCAATTAAACAACTGACTAATTGTTCCAGTCTTAGAATGAACACTCTTCCTGCCAAACACTAGCCCACAACTTCAAATCAATGCAAAATGTAATGATAATGTAGAGATGTAGTGATTTCTTCTGTAAAATATATTGCATATTAAGCAACAACATGGAGCCTCAAATGTCTACCAGAATAATGACATGCTCATCTCTCGCACTCATTTTGAAGGCAATAAATTAATAAAAACTGACAAATCACTTGCTTCAGACATACTGAGATGCCATAAATTCCCAACCTGCATAACGAGATACATAAGGTGGAAAACAACTTTCTAGTCAAAGCATCCAGTGTGACTCCACTTATGTTTTCTCTGTGAGCTGAACTTGGGAAAGGCTTTAAACTTGTTGTATCATTGGTGCCCAGCAGCAAGAGGGAGGCTTTCATTTTATACACGCATTGATTTGATAGCCGACAGCCTAGAGCAGCCTTTAATAGAGTCCCCTCAGCTTACCTGTAGTAACCTTGAAAGTGGAGAGCTTTCAGCAAAATGTCCCGTGAAATACAACAAAATGCATCAACAAAATAGAATCTACAACTTTGTTCTGACATGTCTCAACAAAGAAACTAAAGGGCAGTTATGTAATCTCACCCTTTGTTTAGTGTTTTCTGTTTGGTAGGTGTTGAACATGTCACAACATGATCATCTTCAGGTCTCCACAAAGATATTTTCAGGGAATTTAAATGAATGTACCAAGTGTAGCCTACCACATATTCTAGCTTCCCCACTCCTCACACACACACACACACACACACACACACACTGGGCAAACGGTGAAAAGGGGGATTGTGAGGCACAGGAAATGTATGTGTGGTTGAGTTTGTTTATAGGCAAAAAGCTCCCATGTGTCTCTGTGTGTATGCATTCTCCCCATACTTTCCACTTAATATATTGAGTCCTGGTTTATTTCTTAGGGCATGGTGGTAAACAGTATTTTTGAGTGGCTCACAAAGGATCATTTAAAAGGCAGAGTAAAACATCTTGTCAAGTTTAACCAGCACCTTTTTATGATCAACATACAAGGGAATAAAACCAGTTCTGGTCTGATTTGTATTATTTTTCAGTAGACTCGATAGGCAAACATTTTTTCTCATGATCACAAAAAACTTTGGATAATCTAACCATAATCCAAACTGTTAATGTGATCATAAGATAAAAAAAACTATAATCAGGAGATAGTATGCATGATAATGCCAACATTTGACTTCCACAGGCTGTTAATAATGTTTCTATAATACTACTAGGACTGATAGTGTGCCTGTGATGGAATCAACAATTACACTATACTACACTGAAGAGATACAAAGCCATGCCTGTTAGAAATAGCTCTCTGTATGATGATTATTTTTCACATCAAAATGTCTGATTTTTAGTGATGACAAAGGAAACAGAGGAGGAAGTAATTATATGTTATAACATGGAAATACACCTGTGTGTAGTGCTGGAGGGAGTATTCAGGTAATTTACTTAACTACAAGTACTAATACTACACAGTAAATAAATACTGTTCCATTAGTGCAAGTACAAGTCATGCATTGAAAGTGCTGCTTAAGTAAAACTATGTATAATCAGGAAAATGAAAGTAGTCGTCAATGCAGAAAAATGGCCTCTGCGACCTTTAGACTAGTATATATTATATCATGGTGGAGCAAGGGTTAGGTTTGGGTTAAAACGCAGCACTCTAGAGAGTTCTACGAGGGGCACGGGCACTTGGAGATTGTGAATGTTAAGAACATTTAAAAAGTCCCTTACCTTCCTAACCCTAGGGTTGTGGCTAGGGTTACCTATAGGACTGCAACTAGTGATTACTTTCACTATTTCTCTCCTGATTAATTTCTCAATGAATCAATCGATTGTTTGCAAAGATTCTGAAAATAGAGAGAAATGCCCTTCACAGTTACTCAGAGCCTAAAGTGATGCCTTTACAATGCATGTCCAAACCTCAGTATTCTTAAAAATAAGTAGAACGAAAGGCTGCACAACCTCACATTTAAGAAACTGGAACCATCAAATAATTGTCCATTACTCAGTGAATCACTTAAGCGATCAAAAATTTCTGCTATACGTATTGACTGTTGTAAATGAACTAGTAAATGAACTATTAACTAAAGGTGTCATATAATGGTAGTGGAGTGGAAAGTACAGTATTTCCTTTTGATATGTAATGATATAGAAGTACAATGAGGCACTAAAGGGAAATACAGTAGAGTACAGCAACAGAGTACACGTAGAGTACTTGAGTAAATGTAGTTTTACCACCTTCTCTACGCTTGTTGGACTTGGCAGGACAGGAGAGGGTTAATAAAAGCAGCTCACCATCGCTGCCGCATGGTGGGGGTGTGAACACTTTCCCACACACACACGCGCGCGCGCGCACACACACAGACACACACACAGACACACACACACACACACACACACACACATACACATACACACACATACACAAACAAGCAGATAGACTCAGACATGCTCACACTTCGTTTCCCAACAGCGGAGACAGTTTAGTCACACAGCAGACAGGGCAGAAGACGGTCTACCCCTCAGCCAACTGTTACCACCTTTGGAGAAGAAGTCCAAGTAAGTTTTAATCATATTTGCACGTTTGTAACTAGCTAGTATAAGTGAAACAGTACTGTGTAAAGTTGTTGTAGGTTAGCCGCCATGTCCTTTGCCTTCAGAAAACTCTGTCTAGCCCCAAGAACAACAATTAATGACCACTTTTCTTACCAAACTAACCGAAAATTGACTGCCTTCATGCTACAGCAGTTAGGTAAGTTAGCTGTGTAGGGTGAAGAGACGCCAGCTAACAGTTGACGTTAATGTAACTAACGTTAGCTAGTTAAATTTTTTCAACTGTTGGTAAAGTCTTCGAAATGATAACCGAACTGATTGTGTCTACATAACTTTAGAAAAAGTGTTAATACCCGTCAGATAAGCGAAATTGATATAATGTCACCTTCGTATAGGTTTCTCTCGTTGTCAGTGTTAATTGTAAAGACCTAATAATAATGTAATATAAGAAAATTTCTTCACTTTTTGTGACGTTGCATGCTGTTATCTGTTACAACATAGGTTCACAATTGTCTTAAATCAATAGTCAGGTGCCCAGCTGAACACTGACAGAAGTTGCTCATACTGTAATCATTCCCCATGTCCATACTGGCCATTAATAGATCCCTTCATAGAGCGCTTTTAATCTAAGTGATGGGGAACAAAAACTAATCTATAGTGTATCTGAGGCTAATAGAAGGCTCTGTCCAAATTATTCAGATCAAGTGGGTATCTTCCAAAGTTACAGCCATTTTGCTATGAAATTCTCTTTGTTACAGTACTCTCACTGTAGTTCAGTGGGGAAACACATAGGGAATTTATAAAGAATTTAACTTTGAAAGATAGACTAAGCTTCATAGTAACTTAAGATCAACTTTAAAATTTAGCACAAAACGGGGACTGTGTGGATTTTGTCCCACATTACTGACATTGACATCTGACATATTTTAATGGATAGTAGGAACAGGATGAATAAGCCACAAACTCAGTGTTCATATGGGAACCTGACTATTGTTTTAGAACAGACTTCAACATAAAGCAGATGCCAAGTGATCCTGAAAATGAAAAACCTCCAGGATTAGCTTAACTTTCATGGGTTCAGAATATAGAGAAATGTGGAATATCATTATTTAACTTATTATTATTAGAAATATTAGCTCACTTGAATCAGGAACACTGTCCTCATCACAGGGTTCAATGTCTCAACTTAAAGTTTATTTTAGCCTCCACAGAGACTTTTTGAGTGATGGAGCCATCTGCATTGATAAAGTGTATTGTATGCTTAAACAACATCAAACCCCCTCTTTTGGACGAGGTTTGATGTTTTGCTACAAAACAATACTATATGTGCAACTCTATTGTTGTGTTCTTTAGCAATAGTCATGGTTATATACAGATATCTTATAGTTCCCTGCACTATTATTTTACAACAAGGCCGTCAGAGAGGGTCCTATGGGACACAAACTTATTTTTGACAGGTTTGCTACGTTGCTATGGTGAGCTGTAACAATGTATTTATGTGGCAAAACAGAAGAGAAGCCACGTAAGCCACACACATTCAAGGCAACATCCAGCTACCACAGTGCTTTTGCAGCCCTCTTGCATTAAGGTGTAATCTTTAAAGCACAATTGTGGTTTACAAGCAGAAGTAACCCTCAGTTACTTTCTGTTCTCATACCCCATTTCTCTGTACTTGAAGACATTATTAGTACATTCATCAAAATTCTCAGCATCAGAATTTGAATAGGTATGCTGTTAATTTGTAAAAGTTTTCTTTTGGGTTAGTCAAAATGTTCCACTTGGTCACCATTGGTGTTCAGCTGGCCATGTACTTGGCGACTGTTTGTCATACAAACTACAGTATACCACTTTGTGACAAAGTGTCACCCACATGATGTCTTTTGAAAAGCCACAGTAGAGAACTGTAGGTGAGCTGTTTGATGCTGTGTAGCACACTGTACCCTCAGGCTGTCACTGAATGAATCCCCATACTGTTGGTTATAGACGGTGCCTCAATTTGGCTTTGAGATGTTAATGGTATTTGTATCACTTTTGATGCTGGTTGAGACAGAAACAGTTTTTTTAAACAGCCAAAGAGGATTTTACCTCTTGCTGTTGGCGATGGCAATGTTTTCATCCTTTCACCAAAGCCACATCTTTTTCTGTCTGTTTTATATTATACAATAAATACTTTGGTGCTTGGTTTAAGCTGGTTAGACTATAAATAGAAATATAAAGCATCTGGTTGCTTCTGGTAACTTGTGTTCTGTTTAGTCTTGTTGTCATAGATGTTTAATCATTTCCACTAGATGGTGGGAAGTTACCTGGGACTGAACACTAGAAGGGGATTTCACCACTTTATGTGATATGGTATGACAGTCCCATAGATGCTAAATGGGAAATCCTCTTCATCGCACAGAATTACTTGAATCATATCAACTGATTAAGCATTGTTTAGACAACAGATGTTGCATGACCCAGGTCAGTGAAAAACTTTATAGACATAAACAATAATTGGATAATAAAAATTATCATTACTACCAGCTCTAGTTCTCTCGCTTGAAAGGACTGGGTGGTATGGCCTAAAATTTATAGCACTGTATAATTTGAAGCATGGACAGTAACTTTACATATCAAAGTATATTTATTTTTCTTATAATGTCAATGTACATGCTTCTGAAGGGGTAGCATTGGTATGGCAACTGTATGCAGCCAGTTTTTTTCACTTGACGTTTTTGGAGGACGCATTATTTTACTTTCCTCATATTTCAGAATATGTTTTGATTTGAGGTGATAGAAAAGATTGCTTGTATTACCACACCTCGCAACCACTGACATCTGACATTGTCTTTGTCTGACTTTAAAATTTGAACCGTGTCTATACAATGGAAGTTGCACTGGTCTTTTTTATCAACTCCTCATCCTCATCGTCCTCCTCCTCTTCGTTATCGGCAGCACTTTCAGACATTTCTTCATTTCCTAACCAAGCAGCATGGACTCGTTTTGCGGGTGATGTAGAATTGTTTCCTCTTACTCAAACAAAAATGCTCACCTTTTCATTTAAGTCACCATAACACCACTGTAGACAATGAGCTACATCCTGTCTATACAGAGGGATAAAGGACATTGTTGCATGGTATTAAGGGCTTTAGTACTGGGATGATGCATCAGGTTCATGCCAGCACGATGGCCTCACAGATGTGTAAATGGATTTATGTATGATAGGAGGTCATACACGGAGGTTGGCACATTGCCTGACTTTTTGTGTACAACAGGGCTGTAGTTGATCCATGTTGGGTCCATAACAGACATGGACACTGCCATCTGCCACTCCTGCTGTCTTCATAATCATCTCTGTACCCCATGCTTCTGAACTGGCTCATTGTACAGTAAACAAGCACTGATTTAAATTGAGCACCTCTTTTAGTACAACCCCTCCAAGATTGTGTGATAGTGATCAGACCTTTGCCAAACCACAGGAAGGAAAATGGGGGCTATGAGGGGAAAAATGGCTGTGAGGTCACAGAATTTGGAAAGTTCAGGTGACTCATTTGCAGTTTTCTCATGGCAAGTCATTTTTTCTGCACATGGTATTTGGACCATGAGGTCAATTCTCCTCTGGCCTTTTTTCAGCTGCCCCCATTCAAATAAGCTACATTGTCTCTTGATTTCAGCAGCATTATTGGTACTGCTGTAGCTCTTATACAAGGTTACAATGGCACTGTTCCTTGGAACTGCTGTTTGGCTCTGCTCTGACTTTCCATACCACTTTCCAGTCTTTATTTTCACTTTGGAAGAGATTTGTCATTCACTTCCAGGGAGTCCTGTGTGATTGGGTTTGCCTAGTTAGGCTCAGAAGAAATGAAGATTTAAAATAGCCCCACAGTTTATCTGCTCAATGTGTGAGCTTTCATGGAAGTTGTGCAAAAGGAATTTGAGCATATTTATGGTTTGGGTTGGCTTTGCTCCTAACCTCAATATAGTCAGTTGGCTGCTTTAGAATAAATTGGGCAGGCCTGATAGCCTATTTAATTTGTTGTTTGAAAAATATAATAAGTAGCTCTGGGGCATTGTTAGGAATTGTTATCACATGGACAGGGCTCGGACAACAAACAATGGTAGTCATAACTAAGCCTTTTTTAATCTGTAATGCTGCTCACCATCTAGACATAAAGACCAACAATCTCCTTTAAGGATTATCTACTTTGCAAGGGTATCTGCTGTGAGGTTTGGGCTTTGTGCTGTGTTCAGTTTTGTAAACATGAAATCGTGTTGGTATTTAGGTTATCAAATATTGAGTACATTTCATAGCCTAGTGTAGGTGGTTAGTAGTAGTAGTCTGTCCTTTAATAGGCCTACTCTACAGACAGTCTTATACATAAAGCTTAAACCCAGCCAAGCATGTTGGCTCAGAAAGATATACCACATTAATTTGTTCATATATGCATTTGGTTGAATAACTAATGCTCTTGGGATGGGTCCAAGCAGTTCAAATTGTTTTACTTGGTGAATCCTGACTTTATCCAACCGAACCAGGAAACTAATTGGGAAGGTCAGATTAGAAAAGTTAAACTTTTTATTACCAATGCTGTAATTGTATAATTGGACCAATGTGTTACAATAATGCAGTAAAAGTAACGCAATTGCTAAACTAGCAAGTAAACAACATGATTGCTCTTTTTGGAATACCTTGTTTTGTACTTAGAATAGGCTGTAGAACATTTCCTGTTGTGATGGTGTATATATCGAAAAGAGATGGCAACTGTGATATTACTGCTTCACTTTTCACTTGGGTGTTTACACAGACAGACGCACTGCTTATCAACTAAGAGCAAGATAAAAGTCTTGCAGACAGATGTGACAGAGATGTAGGCAAAGTAAATATGCTTTATTTGCAAGTTAGTTGACTGTGTTTCCAAGGTAACTCAAAAGTCATTTATGTGTAATACAACATATTAGTCATTGTTGAAAGTGAGATTTTGCTTCATGAAACAATACTTTGCATAACAGCTCTTGGTCTGCCATAACACAACAGTCATTGTCAGTGTTATGTGCTATTGTTGTGTTATTGTCTTCAGTTTAATATAAAATCCACCATTATGAAAAAGTAGTTATACAATGATCTATCAAAATAAGAGACTTTTGAAGGCCTGTAAGTAAAAGTATTCTTGTATGTCAGAAATAATACACAGTTTGTGCTTTCAAATATAGTCAACATTTTTATAACTAAGTACACAATATGATAGGCTTTGGGAAGAACCTACAGTTTGGATGCTCAAAGAGACAGGGAGAAGAGAACAGCTTGTCATCTGGCACACAGGGAGTTGTCTTCGTAGTATATTTTCAGACTCCTCAAATAACCACAATGGCTGGTTATATTTTCAGTTCTCTCCTGAAGGAAAAGGTCTGGTTGTGGTAAATATTTTCTTTGGACCATGTTGCCAGAGAGTTTCATAAAGTGTCCCTACTGTGCTGTATGTGTGGTGCTGGCGTGGCCTGCAGGTGTTTTCTCAAAGGAAAGTGTTACTCACAGAGAAGTCTTTGAATGCAGTCATATGGGTATGAAATATATATATATATATATATATATATATATATGAGTGTGAGGTAGACTGATTGTAAAACAATGCAGACGTAAGTGTAACATGCCCAAACTTAAAATGTCAGACAGTGACAGCAGGTCTGATTCACTATATTATTGTGTTGTCTGTTATGTGGTTGTATGACCAATGATCAGCTAGACCCGTTAAATATGGATGGATATGGTAATAAATAAGCTACACTTATTTGCTATATTTGGTGTATTTGGCTTGAAATACTTAATAAGATTAGTTGTAAAACGTGTGTTTAGAATCTTGCCTGTTGCTGCTAGTAAACACGGTTGTAGATCAGCCTAACTTCCCTCTTCTTGTGATTACAATAGCATGCCTAACCACATGGGATCCAAACAGTCATCATGACTTAACCACTAGCCACTTTATGGTGGTCTTCCCTCCAATCTGTCTGACTAGGCTGGTTCCTCTTGTTTGTCAAGAATAAAACAGGACTCATTAACAAACTTGCTTTCAAAGGCATACAATATTGTCATAAAACTGAATACTCTCAACAATTGGCACGTTGTTGTCTTATAGAAGTGGAGATTAGAGCAGGTTGGGCTGTTTAAGACTGGAGAAACGTGCCTGTTGAAAACAAATTAGGCCGATGTTGTTACTTTGAAGATTAAAGCTGTGTTTAATCAAGAACCCAACTGTGCAGATTTCCCTGTGTCCTTGTTCTTTGGCTCATATACTATGCTATTAAAGCCAGGCTATCTTAAGGCTAATTGTCTCTGTTTTGTGTCTTTTTCCATCTTGTGTCTGTTTTCTTATTTTATCTTACATGCCCAGACTGTACTGTAATATTTGTGATGTTCAATTTAACCAATACATTTTCTTTACTTCTGTCTTCCAGAAGCACAACCATGGGTAAAGGATGCATCACAGTCACCAAGTATTTTCTATTTCTCTTCAACCTCCTCTTCTTTGTAAGTAATCCCATTTCTCATTACCGCTTGGTGGTCTTCCTGTAGTAACTGCACATGCATAGCATCCACTGTCAGAATCATGTCACATGACATCCACTTTGAGCAGCTTTGTTTAACCAAGTTAGAAAGATAGGATTGCTATGCTATGCTCCTTCAGTTGAATCAGACAATCAAGACACTCGATGCCTTTCGAGTTTTTATGAAGCATTTTATGAAGCATTATGTCTTTGGGTTGTCTGTAGGCCCGTACGTTCGTCTGTCTGTCTGTCCGTCCATCCATCCGTCTGTCCATCCGTCACATTGTTGTGAAAGTCATATCTCAGTTGGACTCAAAGATGAACTGATTAGGATTTGGTGGTCAAAGTTCAAGGTCACTGGGATCTCACAAAACATGTTTTTGTCCATAACTTACAAATTCATAAACTTATTATAACACAATTTAACGCAAATGTCTAATAGGATAAAATGATGAAGGGATATATTTTATATCCAAATGTTCAAAGGTCAACTTCACTGTCATCATCAAAATGTTCTGCAAAACACTTCTGGCTGTTATTCAACGCTGTAACTCAGGAATGGGACTATATTTCCTGCAACTTGGCTAGTTGGTGGAAACATACAGCCATGAAGCTGTAATTCTAGTTTGAATAAGTGTCCTCATTCAAATAGCACCAGAGATTAGTTGAGATACATAGGGAAATGTTTCTCTGACTCTGCCTGGAGCAAAAAGACTTTACTGGTCACCTCGGCACATTCAGGTCTAAACAGCAGCAGATGGTTTCTGTTTGCTTCCTCCTCACTCACATTGGCCACAACATAAAGTCCAGGGGTTGATAAAACCCCAGACTCCTAAAACCAACCGCGAGGATGTCCAGACCTTTCCAATGAGTCTGTGGCTATAAACCTGATGCAGTCCTTTGATGTGTATGCTCAACTGGTGTCTAAGAGGAAATGTGTGTCGTGTCAGTGTTTGTCCACGTGGACACATTAGACAAGGGGAGGCTAGGGGACGCCAGGATGTGGTAGGCTAATGATGGCTGCCAGGAGCTCAGCAGTACCTTTAAATGAACAGCTCTTAACCAGGGCTCTAATTACTGTTGTAGGATAGGGGAGGGGTGGTGTAACAGGGGGGAAGATGGTGATTCAACAGAGTCTCTCATCTATGGATTTTGCCCCCTCTATAGTGCCCTACAACTTCCAAACAAGGGTGCTCTTAATTACATAGTTTGGAACTTCATCACCTCATTACAAGGGTACACAAGGTAAAACAGATCATTTTCTGAGGCTTTCAGACGCTGGTGACAAAATGTTCCTGTCTAGAGATGATGATTCTGCTCATTTCTAATAGTCTTGATCCCTTTATTCACACTAAACACTATTGGATGTTAATTGTGATAAAATCCAGCAAAGTAGAAATGAGAGCAGGTTGATCTATTTAAGACTGGAGAAATGTACCTGTAGTGATCTATTCCACATCCTCTTTCCTCTGTATCTGCTGTGAGAGAAAGAGATAGAAGAGTGAGTAACAGAAGAGTTAGAATCTGATTAATCCCAGATGTGACAGACAGAGGAAGCTAAAATGAGGCTCTCTGTTTAAGACATACCTGCACAGATTCTGTTTTACTCTCACATGAGATTTGGTCCCTGATTCTTCTATATTTCCTCTCCACAGATCTTTGGAGCATTGATCATGGGCTTTGGACTGTGGGTTCTCTTTGATAACCAGAGCTTCATTGCTGTTCTGCGTAAGTGTTGTAACACTCACACACACCTTTTGTGATAACACTCACGTCAACAAACATTCAGCGCTTTTGACGGAGCTGGTCTGACTGAGCACAGTGGAAGTGGAAATGGAGATTGGAGAGTGTGCTAGTTGAATACTAAAACCCCTGGCCTACGCTGCACAGTTTATGTGGATTTTATCCCCCAGGACTCATTCCCAAGGAACCACAAAAGGATGTTTGCAACAAACCAAAAATATGACTCAGATGTAATTTGATGACTTCCTCTGCCACTCTGCCCTGTAGATATACAGACACACACAAACTGACACATCTGTTGAGATCCAGGGGAGTAGGTTAGTCAGGGGAGGTGACAGTCTCTCAATTATCAAAGTTTAGTCTTATGTTGGAAACTAGCAGGTTTATTCCCCCACAGTTTCCACAGAGTTGCACTTTGAAGTTGCCAGTTCTCTCAGTTCCCCAGATGGCAGAGGCACACAGATACCATCTCCCACCCTCACAGATGTTGTCACAGATCTATTTGTAGACACTGTGTAGTAAGAGAGACACCAAGCCTCCAAATGGCATACTATAAGATGCAAAGTTGTCAGTTTTGTCATAGACGACGGCGTCTCTCACTTAGGTTATCTGCTGTGAAGACACTAAAGAAAGCATAATGAAACCCAGTTCCAGCCTTGCCTGAAAAGAACGGGGAATAAAGTACGGAAACTCTTAGTTGCCATAAATCTTGTTATAAATGCTTTCAGTGTATTCTTCCCAGATGGAGCATTGCCGAGAGCAGCAGTGAAGTTTTCTCCCAGTTTATAAAGAAGAATTCTTTCAGTTTATTATCTGGCAACTTCATACTTGTTGGAAGTCAAATTCAACATTTTTTTCAATTAGACCGTGATACTCCTTTCCTATAGATGAACATTATGAATTGAGTTGCAATGCTAGGAGTGATAGGAGTGTTAACCCATTCAAATCAGCTTCAGATGTGGTTCTAACCTGCATCACCATGCCAATTTGAAAGGACTATGAACTTTTCTGCTCCTATATTGAGACTATTTAACAAAACTGCATAACCTTTTTTTTAAATAAATTAAATTGATTAGTAACTACATTGGTAATTGATAATAGTTCGCACATTCTCTAGTTGCAGCTTCTTAAATGTGAAGATCTGCTGCTTTGCTGTTTCATCATTGCTAAGTTAATATGTTTTGTAATATATTATTGTAATATATTTTGGACTATTGATCAGAAAAAACAAATAATCTGAAGACATCGTCTTGAGCTCTGGGATAGAGTTTTCACTATTTTCTGACAATTTGTTTACAAAATGATTCCAGTCCATAACTAACTTTGTTTTTGTTTTTTTGATGAGGGAGCCACATTTCTGAGGCCCGAGCTGGGCTAAAGAAATCTATATTTAGCCTGGAGATCTGTGCTGCTTTGACTAATGAGTTGTGGAAAGGCTGGAGTTTTGACGAAGACCATCGAGAACTGACCTTGTGTCCTAAACGAATGAGCCCTATCTTCCTATTTTGGCTCTTGAGGTCATCGCTAAGGGAGGAATCACTCCAAGGTTATTATTGAGCTGAGTTTGCTTATCTCCAGCCAGGCATTCAGAACATAAAGGCAGTACAGTATCCATCATCCCTGCCAGCCCCAGTCCTATTGTTATGATAATCCAGCTGTTCCTCTAGAGATAGCAGAGATCTTGCTTCACTGATACCCTGAGGATATCCCTTCCTATGAGGATCTTGATGACCTTCTCTCCTCCATGTCTTTTTATTCCCTGTACCCAGGGTGGGTCAACTCCTCCCTCTGTCCATGGATTTCTAACCCTTTCTAACACTGGAAATCTCTTACCACTTTGTAAAGGAACAAAAACCAAAGCTGCAGACAACTCTGTTTATTGACTCTGTGTGTTCCCCTCAGAAGCTGTACCATTGCCTGACCATAAACAGGATCTCTGTGTTTTCAGTTTCCATTCTTTATGAGTGATATTAATAGAGGCCTCTGCAGCTGCTCCAGTGACTTCAAGCAGGAGAACTTGCGGGAATGTTTTGGTTTTAGGCCCCCTACTTTTTCGGTTAAAAGGCCATCTTCCTCTAAACGTATACCCCTCTATATCACTGCAGTGCTGTTGATAGTGATATGATGTCTTGAGTTTATCTTGCTGGCACTTGCCACTGTGCCAAAACACAGCTTGCCCCCACTTTAAACAAAAGTCAGCCTTGGAAAGAAGGTCTATGAGCCAGAGAGTGTGCCAAAGCACAGTTTGGAAGTATGCTGCAGATTAATTCAGAAACTTTCCATAGTCATGAACAGAGGAAAGAGAACTTGGTGGAAAATAATTTTTAGACCTCTCAAACTCTAGAAATTCAGAACAGAGTTGATCTTTACATAATGTCAGCTGTGACATTTCTCCAGTTGTATACAAACTGAGTATTTGTCTCTGGTTATGTTTACAGACAACAGTCCTCTCTCCACCCTCAGCAGCTTTCTGGAAGCACCATAATTCTGTCTTTAAATGGAAAGTTCTATGGAAACCACCCGAGGAACTATTTTAGAAAATCCAGCAGAGCCCTACATGGAAACATGCCATAGTACATGACAGAACAGCACAGTAACCAGGCAACCACATGCTGACTTCAGGAGAATTGTATGTTTTAGTATCACCACAGAAGAACACAGATGTTGCCTTTACAGCTGGAAACATGTCAAGTAAAGTATCTGTTGCTTTGCAACTTTAACACACCTGGGAATGTCCCTGAGAGGAGACATTTTTTTGCGTTTCAAAAGACTTTAATTTTAAGAGTGTAGGATAGAAACTAGCTGAAATGTAAAAGTCCTGCTGATTGTGTTTTACTGTTAGCTGCTACATGATGTTAGAGGAAATAGTTAATCCCAACAACTGATGTATTACCATAGCATGCCAAGAATATTAGAAAATTGCTCAGATGAAAGTGTGGTCACAGCAGAGAATTGTTTTGAGGTTGCATTAGCCTTGCATGACGTTCTTGCTAATTTCAGGGTGTATGTTTTTACTGGAACAAGTGTTCATTGGGTTGCAGGGAAACCACACACAAACATCTATCTCAATTTTAGTTACCACAGTTAATAATCATAGAAAACTGGCTTATGATCAGCATGGAGGAAATTATGTTGATGGTTCATTATAGCTAAGTAAATTTTTGTTTCATTGATTTGGTGCAGTGAAGTAGTTCTTATCTTTTCACCAAACATTAAGATTAACAACTGTGATAAAAAACCATTGTATCGAGCAGAAAGAACAATTAACACGTATCATGCAGTGCGAGTTCAGTATTGAAATGTTTGTGTCACTGTCACATAGATATTGATCTTCTTTTCCACCAATTGAAGTAATAGCAGTCTCTTGCAAAAGTTTGGTTTGCTTTGGTTTGACAACAGTGAACATGTTCAGCGTACTTCAAAGTTTTCGCTCAATTTCTTGACTGTTAACAGTCATCGATATTTGTGCTATGTGCTATGATGTTTTTTTCAGACGCTTGGGGTGTGTGTGTGTGTGTGTGTGTGTGTGTGTGTGTGTGTGTGTGTGTGTGTGTGTGTGTGTGTGTGTGTGTGTGTGTGTGTGTGTGTGTAAGTAATAACAGACTTCCACAGAGTGCTGGATATAGAACATACAATATGCTTGTCTGCCTCCCTTTAAATAATACCCTGTAGCCACATAAACACTCTGCATATGTTGACCTAAGTACTTTTAGCTTTCAGTTATTCTCAAACCACCACAGCTCTGGTAAGTCATGTAGAGTCAGCCATGTACATGCATGTAATGATATATTTATGAATTAGTACACTAGATGTTTCACTAAACTATGTTTATGTACAAAATATAATATACATAAAATAGGTTTGTTATTGCATTAGGGCTACAACTAACAATTATTTTCTTCATCAGTAAACCTGCATCTTATTTTCCTGATTAGAGAATGAATATCTTGGTTTACAAAATGTCAAAAAAGAGTAAAAAATGTCAGTTATAATTTCTCAAGGTCCCATGTTATGTCTTCAAATATCTTGTTTTGCTCAACCAACACTCCAAAACTGAAAGATATTTAGGTTACAATGATATGAAACTCAGAAAATCCTCACATTGGAGAAGATGAACAAAGTTGCAGATTAATTTTCTGTTGATTGATTAATTGACTAATCGTTTCAATCAAGATTACATGTAGAATGGGGTGTGCCTTCTTTGTCTGTCTCTATACTGTTAACAATCCATTGATAGTGAAAATACCAAAAATTCATCTTAAAAAAATTTCATTTAGAATAACAAGTCAAATATGTTTAGCTGTTATACAGTAATAAGTTGTTATAAGTAAAAAATAATGAAACGCATGGGAACTGTTTCGCATATATTGATGTAGGACAGTGAAAAAGAAGTAGGATTTTGGTCTTGAAAAATGTTATCAGAGTTTGCATCTCTAAACAAGCATAGTGGTTTATTCCAAAGAATTGGGGCATGGTAGGAAAATGCTCTGCCGCCCTATGGATTGCTTATTTATCTTTGGAATAATGACACAGTCTGCATCTTGTGATAATATACAGTCATTAAGTTTTACACAGTAGAGTTGGACATAGAAAGACACCTTGTTTTATAGTCTATTGGATAATGAATTTTCATTGTGCATCTGCCAGGGTGTATATTGCATGAGATGATTGCTGCATGAAGCATCAGCAGATGATATGGCAAGGGAATTAGGAATATATACATCTATTCAGCTTCCTAGTGAACAAGCCAAAAAGCAACATTGCATTATATTCATAGAGCAGCAGTAAAGGAGGTGCTGTGTCAGTCGGCTTCTTCACTAAATGAGTTATCTGGTAGCTCTTGCTGGTTTGCTTGGCCTAGGAATCTTTAGGAGCTGAAGCCATTTCACAACACTCAGATTCTGGCTTCATCTGCAGACTGAGCTCTGACTCTCTGGAGCTCCTCCAGCCCAGATAACACAGCCACATAATGGCTCCAGTTTATCTCCTCTCCAACCTTCCAATCTTCCATTTCAGTGCCAGCCCCTCCTCCTGGATCTCTCCCGCTCTACATACCAAAGAGGGAACTAAATTAAACTTGCCACACATTGTCTTGTCTTGCTCCAACTCTCTCTGGTGTCCTATTAAAATATTTTTTTGTGGGAGAAAAGCACAAGAATACTCTGAATTCAGAGGAATAGACGGTTTGTTCTGTGAAGCATTTTTGGCTCGCTGTTGCTATCTGTATCAAAATGATTTTGCATGTGAACAAAACCTTCCTCTGTGCTGCATTTGTTTGCAAGCACACACTGTGGTTAAAGCAGAAACATGAGTATAGATCATAGATTGACCCTGTTACTCTTATTTCATCATTAAAAATTGTGTGGGTTACTGTATTATGTATGCGAAATTGTCATGGTATTTTGTTTTAAAAATACTTTTCTGAGTCTAACTGAAGAACTGAATTTAACTACAAACTCTTGCTATAAAACTGTAGCAGTTTGCAATGACCAAAAATGTTTCAGAGGTTCTGTGTATGTTGAACTCCCCTGTGTTTTATTTTTAATCATATATATTATATTTATATATATTTTAAATTATGTATTTTTAAATTTGTATTTTTTATGTTTTTATCAGAGGAATCATCAGACACAGTGAAAGTGGCTTCATACATCCTCATCGGAGTGGGTTCACTGTCAATGGCCATGGGCTTCTTCGGCTGCATAGGGGCCATCTACGAAATCCGTTGTCTGCTGGGTCTGGTGAGGAATCACATTCACTTTGAGCTCTAATGCTAACATGCTACAGCTTGGTTACATTCTCTTAAGAGGCAAGCATAAGGTTAACACCCTCAAAACAGCAGTTAAAAAAAAAATGTGCGTCAGAAACTCACAGGCCACACTTCATTGATGACCACACAGGAAACTCATGCTGTGTTACATGACGGAGGAAATAAAACCTAAATTTCCACCTCAGCCTCATGTCTCACAATTGAGTCTATAATAAAGACATAAAAATAAATACTGTCCTACAATTAAAACATACGAAACCCACCTTAATGTTTTGCATGACACATTCAGCTACATGCACCTGCTCAAAATGTTAAGCTTGACTAAGAACACCTGATAGATTCTTGCTGACAGTAAAGCCCTTCAGCATTTCTGTTTCTGTGTGTGTTCGCAGCATGTGTGGATTTACTAAGAGGAAGGGGGGTGACAGGGATAAAGCGGGTGAGATGTAGGGGGTACAACAAGAGTGGGGATGGGTGCATGACCTCTATAGTGTTAAACCTGCTAGGAGTTAACTGAAGAACTGCCGTGACCTACTTCTTCCAGTGACAGTGACCAGCTGGCAGTAGACCCCCCATCACACACACACACACACACACACACACACACACACACACACACACATACACACACACACACACACACACACACACACACACACACACCACCTTTACAGTCAGGGAGGCCATACATAAGGCTGTGGAAGGATCTTTAATGACTTACATTATTATTGCTGAAGGCATTAGAGATTGGGTTTAAGATGTATGTATCTGTAAGAGTAGATTAGTCAATTTTAAGTCAAGTCAATTTTTATTTCTATAGTGCTAATTCACAACATAAGTTATCTCAAATTTCTTTCTTGTGTTTTTTTGTTATTTAAAGTGGGGATTTCTAAACCTACAGTAACAGATTTTTTTGGCCACTCAGGGGCAGCAGAAACAAATTGTGAGCACCTTTTACCACCTAACCACCAAGTTGATGTGGTGCACTAGTTAACAAAAGGTTGTTTGTTTTCACACATCTGGCAGTTACAGACTAATATTATCATTTGATTTGGATTTGAATTGTTTATGGCCACCTGGAATGTAAGTCCAGTATTCACGCTTCAGCTCTGCTTTTGGTCTCTACCAACTAATCAGGGAAAAATATCTAGCTCTTTCACTGCTAAATGCTCCACTATGTTCATACGTTTTCACATTGTCATTTGATATATTCAATAAGAAAATATTGATTATAGCTATTTCAAGAATTCCTTACTTAATTTCCCATAATTTGTAATAGGAGATTATTGATTTCATGCAGTGTTGTAAGTGTTTAAGTGTTTGGATTATTAATGTTGTTATATCCCCCACAGTACTTCACATGTCTCCTGCTCATCCTCATCGCCCAGGTCACCGCTGGAGTCCTCATTTACTTCCAAAGAGAGCCGGTAAACATGAGTGTACTTTATGAATCTACCTTTCTCTGTTCACTTCTTTCTTAATTTCACTTCTTTATAATTTTTCAGTGAGTTTCTACAGCATTTTTTAGTCCTCTTAGTTTTTGGCTGGACTGCAACAGTGGGGCCAGCCCTATGATTCTAAATGTCCTTGACTGACTGACTGAGTGATCATATTTGTGCCACTGGTCAGCCGAATGCCACATGGCCGTTGCTCTTTCAAAATGAAAACAGTTTCTTATAAGGGGTCATTTACAGCCTGCAATATTGCCAACATAGCGCACCTCAAGAGGTGGTCTCAATTCGGTTCGCTTAAAGTACTCATTGCGATTTGCTTAATTTGTGCATTATGAACACAAAGCACCCCAGGTTTGCTTCACCTTTTGCCATTGCATTATAGCCCTGCTGTAGACAGATCACAGGCTATTGCACTGGGACCCTCGAAAAGACATATAGATGGAACCATGGCCGCTGATAACAGCAAGATGGACGAGGTGGACGAGGAGTAGTTTGGTCAAAGCAATAACTATTGTACTTCTCCAGATATAGAACAAACACATCAAATGGCAACAAACTTATCTAGGAAGCACTGATAAGTAAATAAAGCCGAAATCACAGCACAGTCTTTGTCTTTAACTTATGTGTTTGGAGATTTGAAGTTATTAAATGAGGATTGTAGTAGTGTAGAGCAGCAGCTTGGAAATGGTTTGAAAGTTAAAATGTAGTCTTACTGGTCTGTGTTTCAGTCACTATATCATACTTGTTCTGTTGTCTGACAGCAGAAACAGAAAAACATGTTAATGAGAACATCTTTATTGGAAATTCAACTGTATTAAGATAATGTGTATGTGAGCAGAGAGAGTAAGACAGAAGCAAACAAATAAAGGGCTGAAACAAGCTGACACTACGTAGAACGCAGTCCAGGAATATACTAGGTTTTGACCTAGTCTTCCCTTTTCTTCTCTCTTCTAATTTGACCTTCTTTGACACTTCTCTCCCTCCCACCACTTTTCCTCCCACTGGTACTTATGACACCCCTCTTCACAACTGTGTCTGGCTGCTTTAGGGCGTAGCTAAACCTGTTAGTAAGTCCCCTGCATCCTGTGATGAAACAGTTTGATCGCTCGACGAATGGAAAGTAACACGACATCGTTTTTTTTTATTGATGACATGCTGGATGCTGGTAGAAACTAAGATGAAGCAGGTGGACTGGGTAAAATGTCTGATAACTACAGAGGAAGTAGCAAGCAGGCTCTTTCACTACAAGTTTCCATTATCATCTCATTTCCTGCTCTGGGTGTTTTTTGCGTTTTGTTTTGAAGGAAGAGAGGGCAAACACATATATGGTGAATGTGTGATGCTAATGCTGCGGTCATATATTAACATATATATTAAATTGGTATGCCTAACACTGCCCCATCTAGAACAGTTAGTTATCACTCCAGGGATGGAAACCACATTCTACTGAAGTCTTTGATTATATAGTACCCCCTACAGGTGGGATCACCAAGTCATTAGGGTTGATTAAATATGTTTCAGCCTTTGCTCTGAGATGAGTGTCAGTCTGTTTTGAAAAAGTAAAAGTAAACTAAAATGTAATAAGCCTTTGATAGATAAATAAGCCCAAGGGGAAACTTTAGTCACTAATACTCAGGAAAGGACAAATTAGAAAACAAGTCAGACAGGTCACAAAAAGTCACACTGCTCAGTGAAAATCATGTGTCTCAAAAATGGAAAGACGAAGTGTTCCTTTATGGGTTGAGGTTAAGCTAAATAAACAATTTAAAAACCTGCTGGATTATCTTTAAAAAAAAAATTCTGAACTTCTGTTTTTCTGAACTTGTGCACAGTTGATGTTTCGGAGAATTCACATGACAGCAACAACATGACGTGTACTGACACTACAATACTAACACATATTCCTAGAGGACACTTTTGCTCAGGACCCTGCCAAGTTACTTGTGTGCCACTTGATATTTCACAAGTGATGCAGTTAAAACAATACCAATAAAACATGTAACAAAACGTTATAAATATTTAAAAAAGCTTTAAAGTCAGATGCAGGTGGATGTAAAAAAAAATCACCCAATGCTACAGAATACATCCAAATATCACATGTTATGTGTGTGTTTACCTCTGTGAAGCTTTTGGACATCTTTGACATGTCACTCAACACAATTTTACCAAATACACCATAAATGGGTTAAATATTATACTGAGGTATCAAACTGGTGATCATACCAGTACTAGATCCAGACTGTAATCATAGAACCAGCCTTGTGTGTTTGCACTGTGTGTGAAGGGAGTGTTGTGTTTGAACACACAAACCTCCGGAACCAGTTCCATACTCTGAACATGGCCCGTCCCTCCCAGCACATAAAAAGCCTTTCCCTTGGTAAACCTCACCCATGTAGGACTCATGATAGGTGGAGGCTGATGTTGCCCCCTCAGCTGTTAGGCTTCCAGCATGTATGCATGTGTGTACATGTGTTTGTGTGTATCTCTGAGAACATGTGTAAGTCTGCAGCCTTAGACGTGCTCCCTGTGTTTAAGGCTCACCACAGGGCAGGGTGGTGCCCTTTCCCAGAATAGGGTGAGGCTCTCACTCATCTTCAGTAGAGCTCTGAAGCTGCATTGCTACCACTATTCTGTGGTCTTGCACACATAAACACAGAGTCATGCGCCTGCTAAGCTGTATTTGTGCAATTCTTCAGCCCAGCATGGGACTTCACAGGGCAATACCACCCGAGGTGTTGCCCTAAGAAACATTAAGTTCAGATGTTGCTCGTAAATTTTAGAAAAAGGTTTAGTGTTGGTGTGTTTGTTTTCTTTTCTTCAACGCTGTCTGTCTGCCATGCACCATGATTGATTTCTATGTGGACAACTTGTTTTATGGCTTATATACTAACAAGCACACACATACTGTTTATTTATAGTTATCTATAGTATTTTTATCAAGTACATCAAGTGATCAGTTTTGGTGTGACGCTTAAAATTTGCATTGTTAATGATATATTGTCATCTCATTTCTAGTTGAAATATGAGATGTCCAACATCATAAAAGGCATGATAATCAACTACACTGGCCAGAACAGGACCACAGAGCACACATGGGACTTCATTCAGAGGACGGTGAGTTGACTCTTTTAACCTGGTTTGTACAAGACACACACAGAAGTCTAATGTAATCGACAATTTGAATGTCCATTCTTTTAAGATGGTTACACAATGCTGAACATTAAAGTGAATAAACTACATCCATTGAACAACTCTGTTTTAAAAAAGTTACAGTTAGCATTGCTGGTACCATTAATATACCTGTGAATACATGAAAAGCAGCAGGTTGGATTTATCTGGTTTATCTAAAGTGACTCTTACGGTAACATGAGGGCACATATTTTTAGAATGGGTGTCTCTGGTGTGAATTCAACTCTTAACCCTGCGATGCTCGTTGCATGTTCTTTTCTTTGTAATGCTGCATCCACACCGTGTCTGCAGGGGAAGAACAGGAAAACCTCCCATTACTCTAGAGTGTTAGTGTATGATTACCCCCACCACTAGCCCACCCATCATGCTGCCAAGCGCTATATATATAGTGTCACTTACCAAAATTACAAAAAGTTGTTGAATGATTTTACATATCTTTAGTGGTATTTAGCCATGTAGACCGGTTTGGTTTTATGTGCCCAGGTTTTGTTCTTAAAGTTTCCTACCTCAACTCCAATACAAGAGAGATGGTTGAAATTGAGTTAATGGTACTCAAAGCATTGGAAATTGACTTTTAAGTAGCTCAACAGCTACTTGTCACTTTGCATACCCCACAAACCTTACAATGAACAGTTTCATAGAATTAGTCCCTATAAAACCTTTTGACTTTTGAAGAGCAGAGGAGCATTAACAAAATCCTATTCACTTCCATCATTTTGGTCTGGCAGCAGAGGTTTTCAGAGAATTTGGTGTACTTTGAGAAACTAAACTAATCAGATTATAGCAAATAAGCCACAGTCAGATTGCTCCACACTCTGATAAAGTTTTGAGCATTTTTTTCACTATCTCCTTGCACCTTCTCTCTCTTTTTCCTGCCAAACCTCTGTCCTGCAGATCTTTCTGAAAACAGCAGCCAAGAACAGACTGATCACAAACACCACAATAGAATTTCATTGAGACAATGGATTTTCTAGTTTTGCCTTCTTATTTATTTTACCATTTGTTTCTGTGTCTGCTTTTTTTCGTGTGTCCTTTTTTCACATCCTGCCTCTCTTTCGAATCACCAGATGAAGTGCTGTGGATGGACTGGTCCAGGAAACTGGTCTGAGAACCTTTCAATCAAGAACAGTTCTAAGAACCTCTACCCATGTTCCTGTCGCAATGAGAGCCTGTCTGGCACGGACATCCAGGAAGTAGGCCTGTGTGAGCACATGTCCACAGATCTACCTGTCTATGAAACGGTACATAGCACTTCTAAAATCTGTCATACTGTTTCTGCACTAAAGTTGAAAATCATTTTGAAAATCATAAATCTGAATTTACTGATGAAGTCAATGGCTGTTTATCCAGTTGGTCCACTCCCATTTCTGTCTCAGTATCAAGGCCAAACAGTATGTGTGAATATATTTTAGTTGTGGAGTAGCATAATTCTGTGATTGGTTGTAAAAAGCTTCTAGCTTTGCCTCATATTTTTCCTGGTCACTCACTCATTCAGACACCATATGAAACTGCCGCCTGCAGTCTGCCTCATTGTGCTGAACCAACTACTTTTTCTGGAGAAGGGACTTTTTTCCTTCAGTGCAGCTTTTTACTCAGCTGTCAGTGTTGTAATTTTAATTGATCAGTCATGATTCATTCACTAAGCAGACATGTTGGATATCACTTAGTTTAACTGTTTTTGCTTTCAATCACAATATCTATAAGTGATATTGCAAAAGCAAACATGACATGCAATTTAATGTATCTAAATCTCTTTCCACTTCATTTAATTGGCATATTGTTGAAAGGGTTTGCTACATAGGACAGTCAGTGCTAAAACATTCACCCCGTCTGTGTCATACTTTTATATTTACCTTGCAGTGGTGAAAGAAATAACAAGATCTTATACTTGCATAAGTGTTGCAGTGCCACAATATAAAAATACTTTATCACAAGTAAAAGAGCTGCACTGACATCCTACTTGGTAAAAGTTCAAAAATATACTTAAAGTAATTACTTAGTATGCTAAATGGCCCCATTCGGAGTATTATACTTATGATATATGTATATATCATTGGAATATAATAATAGCTGTAAAATAAATTTGAAATTAAAAGTACAACATTTCCCTATGAAATGTAGTGGAGTTTAAGTATAAAGTTGATAAAGTCAAGCTACTCCAGTAAAGTATAAATACCTCGAAATTGTACTTAAATACAGTAAATGTACATAGTTATATTTGCCACAGCACCATCTTGACATGTTACATGACACAATTTGAACTGTCTTCTGTAATAAATCGTACCCAGCCTCATTGAAGTCTGTGTAAATGGAAACATTTTATCTTTAGGTCCAGACCACAGTCAGTCTTACTTGGTGTTCCTGCAGCTGAGTGAACAATGCTACAGCATGCCTGCATTGTCCTCATAGACCTCACACCTTTACTCATTACATAAGTCAGTTAGACTCATGTTGTGTAACTCCTGGTGCCAGCTCAGTGTGGCACTGTGGTTGCACTTAATCAGCACAGTTAATTCAGACAGCTGAGGCGTGTCGTTTGTGCTTTGTGATTCGTTCAAATACCAGGAAAGCTCTACTGTTCTGTTGTTTGGTCTGCATGTTTCAGGAACTTTACTCTCTCTCTACTGTTTTCCTCGGCTCAGCTAAGCCATGTTATTCTTCCCGTCACTGACTCAGTCCAAAGCCAACAGTTGTGTTTTGAAAAGGCTCTGTTCATGTCCGGCTGGGATCACGTAGTCATTCATCTCTCCACTGCATGCTGGCTCGCCGCCCCTGTCCCCCCTCCTTCAATGTCTTTCTCAGCCTCATTCTGTCTCTCCTTCTCCCTCTCTTGTTCTCTCCTTCAGGGCTGTATGACCAGTGTGGAGAAATGGCTCCTGGACAACTGTGGGGTTATTCTGGGAATGTGTGTCGGTGTGGCAGTTGTGGAGGTACAGTATTTATCCGTCCCTCACACTACTCTATAGGCGAGAATACACTATGTGATTTTGGGCTGCCCCAGATGAAAGATGACCAATGTGAAAGAAACATGGTGATATCTTTGGTCATGGCTCCAAAACGGTGGTCCTACGTCGTTCTGTGAGAGAGGTTCAAAGATGGCCATTGTCATGGTTTTGTGATCAAAGAAGGCCTGGAACAACCCTCACATTGTTTTTTCTTTGACATAACATGGAACAATGGAACCATATATGTTGTTCAGTTATTTATTTGTCACAAAATACTTGGCAATTAAAATATTTCCCGTTCCCCACCATATACACATCATTATCTATTAATTAATTTAATAAAGTGTCCCCATCAGCTAATGCCATAAATAGAATCTAATTCTGTGGGAAACACTGTAACGTGTTAATTAGTGAGCTTTAGAGATAAATGTAGGCAGATTCCAGTCTTTATGCTAATCTCCTGGCTCCAGCTTCATACAGTATTTAATGGAAAGACATGAGATTGGTATCATTTAACTCTTGGCACAAAAGCAAATAAGCTAATTTCCTGAAATGCCAAACTATTCCTTTGACCAAAACAAAAGGGTGTCGTCCAAAGTTGGTCCGGCTGACCTTTGAAATGCCTTTTTACACAGAGCGAGGAGTGTGGATTTTCATCCCTGATCTTTTACAGTGGAGTCATGTTAGAGTGGGATCACTTCATTGCCTGTATGGAGAGGAGAAGAGGTTGCAGCAGCCAATAACTCTTTGAACTAGAGCTTGATTTTACTATTAGTTGATTAAATTAGTCGAGCAACGGAAAAATAATGGGCACCTATTTTATATTATAGTTAATAGCTAGTAATAGTTATTAGTTTTTCAAACAAATATGTAAAATACTCTTTTGTTCCTATCTCCAAAATGAAAAATGAACATCACTGTGGGTCATAGGAAATTGTGACGGGCATTCTTTTATTATCTTCAGGCAATAAGTTGAGAAAACAATCATATGATTAATTGGTTGTGATGCAGTAGAGATACATTGTATGTGTGATTTAATTCTTTGGCTTTGACACATATTTTTTGAGTGAAAGCTCCACTGGTAAATTTCAACTCTGATAACTAAGGTGACAACTCCATTTCCTCCAGCTCCTCGGGATGATTCTCTCCATGTGTCTGTGCAAGAGCGTCGTCCAGGAGGACTATACCAAAGTACCGAAGTACTGAGCTGAAGACGGAGCCAGCTTCACACCACACACAGATGGATGGACTCTTTGCCTCTCTCTCCTTGTCTCACATTCTTACACACACACATACACACACACACGCACACGCTCACATACACACATAAGGTAAGACAGCTGTCTCTCCCATTTGAGTGTCTCCTGCCTTGACAGCTGTGCAAATGTCTCACACCCCATATGTCTCTCTCTCACACACACACACACACACACACACACACCTCTCAATCAAACTTGATACACTTGTTGGACGTAAGTTCACGAGTTACCATTGTTGTCTTATCATTTGTGTTTTCTAAGCAGACATTTGTGATATTTTTTGGTGGAGGCCTGAGAATTTTGTAGTTTGATACTATGATACTATGCAAACGTTCATTTATGTGTTGTTTGTTTTCCTTGGCTGACCTCAAAGAAGCGCTTAACATTGTAGTAGAGAGAGCACTTTAGTGACATTTGGTGAGCTGAGAGCCGGAGCATCTTCTGACTCTGGGGCAGGGAGATGAGAGGGAGGTGGGAGGTCGTGGGTGTGTGCATGGGAGATGCTTTTAAGGATTAATGTTACTCTATGATCCTGCAGCTGGTATTTTTGGTGCACAGGGTGGAGGAGAGGCCCAGGGCAGGGCTGCTGTGGTGGAGGTTTTGGCTTCTATCATCAGCTCCTTGTACCCAGTAGTCCTAATATTAACCTTCGTTTACACCCACCACCACCACCACCACCAGCTCCTCCCTCCCAGTATCCATCATCTGTTAGCGTCTTTAAAACACATCACTGTCCTTCTCTCGGGTGTGTGTGACTGGTAACCAGTAGCTTTCCAAAATGACTAGTTTTGCATGAAGTAAGTGTGTGTATGATGTATTGAGTGAGTATTTTATTTCTTTTTATTCTTTTTTTTTTATATTCTCATGTCATCTGTGTTTTTCTTTTTTATTACAGCTGTATATATGACTTTGGTAAGGGATTATGGCACTTCAGTGCTTAGTCAGCATTTTGTATGGGAAAGCTATAACCCTCATACTCTTGTTTTAAGAGTGCTATTGTTCTTCGTTTCCTTTCTATGATGTACAGAATGTGGCTGCCACCGCAGCTCATCAGCTTCATTTTGGTCTGAATCAGAGAAATTGGAATCCTTAGAGTGAATCAGTCATCACTCTTGAAGCTATATTTTCATTTCTTTAGAATAGTTTGTGAACAGACAGTCTACCATAGCGCACTTGCCCTGAACATCTTTATTTAAGATCCTCACACCTGCCTTCACATTTAGAAAAATCTTGTTTTTTTTTTTTAATTGTAGCAGTAACATGAAAACGGCAGCTGTGTGACCACAATGTATCTTCCCTTCTCTGCATGATTGTTTGTTTTCCGAGAAATTGTTTTGCACGGTTTATATTATCAGTAACAACAGCAGAGAAAAAAGTTGGAGCTCACAGTGTTTGCATTTTTTCAGAGGCTGCTATGACCAAAAAATGACTGTTCATCAATTCATACTATTGTTGCAAAAAATGTTTTACAAAAGCTTTTCGTGAGTTTCCTCATCCCACTTATATCCATCTCATTGTCTCAGTCCTCCCACTTCATTTTGAACACACTACTATGGCTGAATTTATGGTTAATGTAATGGATAGATTGCACTTTTATGTGGCTTATAATTTTTAATTTCATCTCACATAAATTATTTCAAATCATGTTCATCACGCTACAATTACACCAGAGGGAGGAAACTTGCCATTGTATAAAAGAACAGTTGCATCTTTCACAATTACAATCAGCCTCTATTTTATGACCTGACAAATTGAAACATAATTTAACTTAATGAGAGATGAAGGCTTTTTATTGTGTTGAAGATATTTTTACACTTTTACAAAAAAATGAATGATTTTGTTTCGTAGAAAAAATATTTGTGGACCTGTAAGCCAAGTTTGAAAACATGGTGTATTTGTTTTTATTATTGAGAACTATTAAACTTAAATTCACTAAACACTGTGTTGATTTCATTTTATCTTATAAAAGTTATTTCAACAGTGGTCACAGAGCTTATATACATACAGACTGCTGTTTTGTCAGACAGCACAGATCTTTTCCTTGTGGTCAGATGTTAGGCCTGTACCTAAAGTAACCAGAAGATGGCAGTATATAACTATAACGGCGTCACTGGCTCAGACAGAAATGCATTTGGGTAACATGAGCAAAATTAGTAGGTTATGGTGTTTTTAGTGTGAAATTAAAGATGCTAAACCTTATTTATAAAAGCTGCCGGTTTAATTATGAGCTTTATGCAGATTCTTAAGAAATAAGTTATTTCACTGCCCTCCTAGTTTTATACCTCTAAGCTAATTCATTTTTTCGATTACTCCCTAATTTAGTCTTTGTATTTTCTTGTTAATTTAGTCAGACTACCTTGTGGCTGAACAGAACAAAGAGCTCCACATCCATTCATTGCACTGCGATAACAGGGTTTCTCCTCTGCAATAAATAAGAAAGGGCTCTTCTCGGAAGATTTAAGTGCAATGACTCTTATCAAGGAAAGGGAGCCTCATGATGTCATATCATGCCAGAAGCTAGTACCTCATCACAGACCAACACTGCTCTGAGGCTGAACAACACAATCATAGCACGGACCTTGCTGCTCTAATCCACTATTGTCTGAGACACTTAACCTCAGTATAATGAGTACAGTTTAGTGTTCGCTCAGGAGACTGTTTTTAAGTAACTGAACAGAGCCACAGCTCATCAGGGAGCTCTGTCCATGCCGACTGCTGTAAGCGCCAAACATCAATTTCTCATTTAAAATGCGATATTGAATTTAAGAATAACAGCTGTAGGCTACATGAGGGGAGAGTATCCTCACACTGGATTAGAGCTCCCAGAACTTTATTGGACTGAAAAAAGGCAACATTTCAACTCTACTGTACCGTCATCAGGCAAATAGCCGACAATACCAAGGATAAGGTTTATACAGATACAAAACTGATTACATCCTGTTGACATCACAGTCAAGTGATCAAAACAAAACATATACAACAATGTGGTGCCTTTATAGTTGAATGGTTACAGCCCATACCACGTAAACTGTAACGTCCATGGTTGGAGTCTGGCAGGGACCTTTGCTGCTCATCATTCTTGTATATCAGCATAAAAAACTGGGATACTGTTTTTTGTTTTTTTGTTTTTTTTTTTACCATTTTGAATGGATTAAAGAGTTCCAACAATTACTCAATTCATCAATTTAGTTATTTAATAAATATTATTATTGGGAAACTAATTCGATAATGGAACAATTGGTTTACTGTTTTTTTTATGCAGAAATAACAAACATTCCTCCTCATTGAGAAGCTCTTTCCATATTTCACAAATGTGAGGATTTGATGCTTTTCTTTGTGAAAATGTTTGGGTGTTGAACTGTTGGTTGGTCAAAACAAGACATTTGAAGACGTCAGTTTGGACTCTAAGATATTGTTATGGTAATTTTTCACAATTTCTTGACATTTTATAAATAAAACAATTAATTGAGTTAACAATTAGCAGATTAATTGAAAATGTAAATAATAATTAGTTGCACCATTAAGGGATTACTCAAAAAGCAAATAACAAGATTACTTAATAATGAAAAAAAATGTTGCAATTCTAGTGCATATGAGTAGATTTTTTCTTTGTATGCAGGCTATGGAAAACTTAAAGGGCCTATAGCCAGGACAATGTGCTGCTGCTGCTGCTGCTGCTGAACTGATCAGAACACACACACACACACACACACACACACTGTCCACGACAAACAAAATGAGGAAGGAAAGCTTCTTCTGTTTTTTCCACAAAGCTGTCAGTCAGTGAGTCCAGGGCAAAGGAAGCGGGACAGATGATGATCCCATTGAGACCGAATGAAATAAAAGGATGAATAATGACGATGTCAGGTCCATGTGTTCAGTAAGCACTGAGTAACCTGGAGTGATTTAAAAGAATATGTGTATCTAAGAAACATGTCTCTTGAGAATGTGTGATAGGCAGGTAAAACTTTTGTCAATATGGAGGATACATGCAGTTCATGTTACTGCACTGAGCTCATGCAAATGAGATGTATGTTTAACAGGATGTTTGTTCTGTGTTGCCATTTGTCTCCCTATCAATGTGTGTTTTTAGTCAGCTCTCCGCTCCAGTGGTGCTCATCCAACACAGTTGATGGTGAGGGGCTCTCTGCAGCTGCCCCCTCTGCCTGCTGTGCTCTTCCCCTCAGCATCCTCTTCACATTGTGTCATGGTCAGATGACACCCCCACATGCCCCTCAGTCACCCCCACGATGGACCCCACCTCCACCTGCACACTGACCCCCCTGCCTTGTCCCTTCCTCCTGCGCTGGCTTTCCTGTTTTTAATCTCTCTAAGGGATCATATATAAACAAACAGTGTGCACTCAGTCTGTTTCACATATCCGTCTGATAGATATGTATAATAACATAACTAGCTGGGCCGATCCCCTGTCTGGTGCAGATTACTTTAAAGCCTGGGGAGCTCTAATCAGAAATGAGAAGTATGAGTCACAGTGCCCCCGTATGAGATGGAAAGAGGATCAGCCTAGTTCCATTAGCTGTTTAAATTGTTTCTGTGATAGGCTGAGAGGCGGCAAGTGGCTGCAGGTCAGTGGGTGTCCTCCGCCTCATTTCCTGCCCAGCGGCTTGTAGGTTCCAGCACCTGAGAAGAATGATACACTGACTCACACTCAGAGCCACCTTCCTTTCGCTATTCCTCTTTATACCTCCCTCTCTTTCCTCTTGCGGGCTAATCCAGTTTGATAAGGGCAAGCTCTCCTCTTCATGTGGCCTCTTTGGCCTGCGGAGAATAAAGACCTCTGAAATCACTCTGGCACAGCTCCACTGCCTTGCCAAACACTGGTGAACATCAGCAATATGAGGATGTGAAAACACACAGTTTCCACCCCAGTCCACTGAGATGGAAGCGAGGGAGAGAAAGGAATATGGAGATGGAGATAAAGACTGACAGAGAAAGCAACTATAACTGAGTGCCACTTACATATTTCACAAAACA